AACCCTAAATGTTAATGGCTTAAACTCACCAATCAAGAGACACAGGCTAGTAGAATGGATCACAAAACAAGACCCAACAATATGCTGTCTACAGGAGACGCATTTGATAGGAAAAGACATACATAGGCTGAAGGTGAAAGGTTGGGAAAAATCATATCACTCATATGGACTTCCGAAACAAGCAGGAGTATCCATACTCATATCAAATAAAATAGATTTCAAGCCAAAGTCAATCAAAAGGGATAAAGAGGGACACTACATACTGCTCAAGGGAACCATACACCAACAAGACATAACAATCATAAATATATATGCCCCAAACAATGGTGCAGCTATGTTCATCAAACAAACTCTTCTCAAGTTCAAGAGTCTAATAGACCACCATACAATAATCATGGGAGACTTCAACACACCTCTTTCACCACTGGACAGATCTTCCAAACAAAAGTTGAATAAGGAAACTATAGAACTCAATAACACAATTAATAACCTAGACTTAATTGACATATATAGAATATACCACCCAACATCAAGCAGTTACACTTTTTTCTCAGCAGCACATGGATCCTTCTCAAAAATAGATCATATATTATGTCACAGGGCAACTCTTAGACAATATAAAGGAGTAGAGATAATACCATGCATCCTATCTGATCATAATGGAATGGAACTGAAAATCAACGATAAAAGAAGGAAGGGAAAATAATACATCACTTGGAGAATGAACAATAGGTTACTGAATGATCAATGGGTTATAGAAGACATCAAGGAAGAAATTAAAAAATTCTTAGAGATTAATGAAAACACAGACACAACATATCGGAATCTATGGGACACATTGAAAGCAGTTCTAAGAGGAAAATTCATTGCTTGGAGTTCATTCCTTAAAAAAAGAAAAAACCAACAAATAAATGATCTCATACTTCATCTCAAAATCCTAGAAAAAGAAGAGCAAAACAACAGCAAAAGAAGTAGAAGGCAAGAAATAATTAAAATCAGAGCTGAAATTAATGAAATCGAAACAAAAGAAACAATTGAAAAAATTGACAAAACTAAAAGTTGGTTCTTTGAAAAAATAAACAAAATCGACAGACCCTTAGCCATGCTAGCGAAGAGAAGAAGAGAGAGAACTCAAATTACTAACATACGGGATGAAAGAGGCAATATCACAACAGACACTTCAGAAATACAGAAGATAATTAAAAATTATTTTGAATCCTTATACTCCAATAAATTAGAAGATACTGAAGGCATAGATAAATTTCTTAAGTCATATGATCTGCCCAGATTGAGTCAGGAGGATATAGACAACCTAAAGAGACCAATATCAATTGAGGCAATAGAAGAAACCATCAAAAGACTACCAACTAAGAAAAGCCCAGGACCAGATGGGTATACAGCAGAGTTTTACAAAACCTTTAAAGAGGAACTAACACCAATACTTTTCAAGCTACTTCGGGAAATAGAAAAAGAGGGAGAACTTCCAAATTCATTCTACGAGGCCAACATCACCCTGATACCTAAACCAGACAAAGACACTTCAAAGAAAGAAAACTACAGACCAATATCTCTAATGAACCTAGATGCAAAAATCCTCAATAAAATTCTGGCCACTCGGATACAAAAACTTATCAAAAAATTGTGCACCATGATCAAGTAGGATTCATCCCTGGGATGCAAGGCTGGTTCAATATACGGAAATCAATAAATGTTATTCACCACATCAATAGACTTAAAAATAAGAGCCATATGATCATCTCGATAGATGCGGAAAAAGCATTCGACAAAGTACAGCATCCCTTTATGTTCAAAACTCTAGAAAAACTAGGGATAACAGGAACATACCTCAATATTGTAAAAGCAATCTATGCTAAGCCTCAGGCTAGCATCATTCTGAATGGAGAAAAATTGAAGGCATTCCCTCTAATATCTGGAACAAGACAGGGATGCCCTCTCTCACCACTTCTGTTCAACATAGTTCTCGAAACACTGGCCAGAGCAATTAGACAGACGAAAGAAATTAAAGGCATCAAAATAGGAAAAGAAGAACTTAAATTATCACTATTTGCAGATGACATGATTCTATACCTAGCAGACCCAAAAGGGTCTACAAAGAAACTGTTAGAGCTAATAAATGAATTCAGCAAAGTGGCAGGATATAAAATCAACACGCATAAATCAAAGGCATTCCTGTATATCAGCGACAAATCCTCTGAAATGGAAATGAGGACAACCACTCCATTCACAATATCTTCAAAAAAAATAAAATACTTGGGAATCAACCTAACAAAAGAGGTGAAAGACTTATACAATGAAAACTACAGAACCCTAAAGAGAGAAATAGAAGAAGATCTTAGAAGATGGAAAAATATACCCTGTTCATGGATAGGCAGAATTAACATCATCAAAATGGCGATATTACCAAAAGTTCTCTATAGGTTTAATGCAATGCCAATCAAAATCCCAACGGCATTTCTTGTAGAAATAGAGAAAGCAATCATGAAATTCATATGGAAAAATAAAAGACCCAGAATAGCAAAAACAATGCTAAGCAGGAAGTGTGAATCAGGCAGTTTAGCGATACCAGACTTCAAACTATACTACAGAGCAATAGTAACAAAAACAGCATGGTACTGGTACCAAAACAGGCGGGTGGACCAATGGTACAGAATAGAGGACACAGAAACCAATCCACAAAACTACAACTACCTTATATTTGATAAAGGGGCTAAAAGCATGCAATGGAGGAAGGATAGCATCTTCAACAAATGGTGCTGGGAAAACTGGAAATCCATATGCAACAAAATGAAACTGAATCCCTTTCTCTCGCCACGCACAAAAGTTAATTCAAAATGGATCAAGGAGCTTGATATCAAATCAGAGACACGCCGTCTGATAGAAGAAAAAGTTGGCTACGATCTACATACTGTGGGGTCGGGCTCCAAATTCCTCAATAGGACACCCATAGCACAAAAGTTAATAACTAGAATCAACAAATGGGACTTACTCAAACTAAAAAGTTTTTTCTCAGCAAAAGAAACAATAAGAGAGGTAAATAGGAAGCCTACATCCTGGGAACAAATCTTTACTCCTCACACTTCAGATAGAGCCCTAATATCCAGAGTATACAAAGAACTCAAAAAATTAGACAATAAGAGAACAAACAACCCAATCAACAAATGGGCCAAGGACCTGAACAGACACTTCTCAAAGGAGGACATACAATCAATCAACAAGTACATGAAAAAATGCTCACCATCTCTAGCAGTCTGAGAAATGCAAATCAAAACCACCCTAAGATACCATCTCACTCCAGTTAGATTGGCAGCCATTATGAAGTCAAACAACAACAAGTGCTGGCAAGGATGTGGGGAAAAGGGTACACTTGTACATTGCTGGTGGGACTGCAAATTGGTGCAGCCAATTTGGAAAGCAGTATGGAGATTTCTTGGAAAGCTGGGAATGGAGCCACCATTTGACCCAGCTATTCCCCTTCTCGGTCTATTCCCTAAAGACCTAAAAAGAGCATGCTACAGGGACACTGCTACATCGATGTTCATAGAAGCACAATTCACAATAGCTAGACTGTGGAACCAACCTAGATGCCCTTCAATGGATGAATGGATAAAAAAAATGTGGCATTTATACACAATGGAGTATTACTCTGCATTAAAAAATGACAAAATCATAGAATTTACAGGGAAATGGATGGCATTAGAGCAGATTATGCTAAGTGAAGCTAGCCCATCCCTAAAAAACAAATGCCAAATGTCTTCTTTGATATAAGGAGAGTAACTAAGAACAGAGTAGGGTCGAAGAGCATGAGAAGAAGATCAACATTAAACAGGGATGAGAGGTGGGAGGGAAAGGGAGAGAGAAGGGAAAATGCATGGAAATGGAAGGAGACCCTCAGAGTTATACAAAAGTACATACAAGAGGAAGTGAGGGGAAGGGGAAAAATAATATAAGGGGGACAAACGAATGTCAGTAGAGGGGGCAGAGAGAAAAGAGGGGAGGGGAGGGGAGGGGAGGGAGGGGGGGAGGGGAGGGGAGGGGGGATAGTAGAGGATAGGAAAGGCAGCAGAATACAACAGACACTAGTATGGCAATATGTAAATCAATGGATGTGTAACTGATGTGATTCTGCAATCTGTATATGGGGTAAAAATGGGAGCTCATAACCCACTTGAATCAAATTGTGAAATATGATATATCAAGAACTATGTAATGTTTTGAACAGCCAACAATAAAAAATTAAAAAAAAATAAAGTAAAATGAAAAAAAAATAAAATAAAATAAAATTCTCTGTATCCGAAATCATTTTGAAAATGCTTTTCTTCAGCAGAAGACAGATGGACAGTGAAAACATGCCTTTTAATTGCGTCCGTTGTTCTTATATTCTGTCCTGGTCTTTCATGAGTTTTTGTCTGTGAATCTTTTACATTTGGACACCAATTAATTGTTCACTTGTAAAAACTTCTCAGAACTTCAAGCAGGTAATTTTTGTAGTATGTAAATTATATCCCAAGCTATTAGAAACACCTAAAAGCATTTTCAGTAGTATTATGAAGCAGCTTTGTTTTAATGTGAGAAGGTGAAGAACACATGGTAATTTATTTATATAAAGTTCCAAATATTGTGCCTTTTAGAACATTCTATACTTTTCTTTTTTGATCTGTTTTAACATAGGAAGACTTCCTATTTGACTCATAATCATATATCTTAATGACAGAGAAAGTAAATATGAGGTAATGACTAAAATTTGAATCTTATTTTTAGCATTGGAATGCTGTTACAGAGATGAATGAGAGTACATACTCAAATATTCTACTTCATGCCTGGTTCCTCCTTTCCTAGTTTTCCATTGAGGTCTGAAATCTGGCTAACTAATTGAATAAGTAAGGAAATATACTATACTAAATTCGGCTGTTTTGACTTTTCTCTGATGAGCAAATGAGATTAAGATCTTTTCTTTTAAGATATTCCATTTATCGTTACAGAAAGCTGTATACCTGCACAAGTGGTGGCTGCCGTTGATGTAAATACAGTTGCTAATGAAGTATACAAGTATAATTTTCCTCACACACAGTTACTGGCAAAGACAATTGAAGTGAGTTATTATTCTTATTTCATTATGTTTATAGCAAGGAAAACATGCTTAAAAATACTGTCAAATATTGGTTTCTGGTAGCTTAATTGAAAGGTAAGTCATCTAAATTTAAAAGAAATTACGAGAAAGAAATTACTATATTATATTCTGTCAGATGATAGATCACAAAATTTCATGCAAACCACTGTGTATCTTATGTGTAATCAACAAGGGAAAAAATGGCAAGTGAGAAAAATATACCCCATAATGTTTGTTCAGGAGAGGAGACATGAAAACCCCAAGTCACTAGGCTGAAAGCTCCATTGAAACCTGTGTATGCATCCTGCTCACCCTGAAGGTGAGAGTGTGGATAAGGGACAGAGGCCTGCTCTAAGGTTAAATGGTCCAGCGGCTTTTTACCAACAACACTATGGCAGCAAGTACCTGAATGGAAGCTGCCACTGCTTCTCCCCATCTTTTAGCAAATTCCTGCATTCAAGTGGCCTCTAATAAAAAAAAAAATGAATAATAATTGGAAAGGAACCAATTTGAGGCTATACTTAGTAATTTTTAAAGGAAATAAGATATGTAAACAAACAAGCAGAATATGCAATAGAAAAATGATGGTAAGAAGCAGAAGAAAATTTCAAACAAGTCTCCATGATCTTCAATCACTAAATAAAACCTATCTTAAGATATCAGATAAATATATGCAAAGAGCAATGATAAGGTTTGAAAAGTATAAAAGGTCTGGGAAGAAAGAGGAGCAAAATAAAACCATTATAGAAATGTAAGTCTTGCCAGAGTAGCAAAAAGCAAAGTAGACCATACTCTAAATAGACTCTTAAAGAATGGAGCTTGAGAAAAATAAAGCAAAATAAAATGAAGACAGATCAGAATGTTGAAAAGTAAATGATACCTACTGAAGACAAAAATGATCCATGATAAATATAATCAGTGCTTCTGATGAAGATAGTAAATTAAATGGAACAAAAATATTTTATAGAAGCAGATGAAAAATTTATAAAATAAAACATCCAAGAATTCACAGATTTATTACTTACTCTAGCTAAGCAAGAGCTGAATCAAAATAGATAATCCAAGCATGAAGCCACCACATTAGAAAGAAATGATGATTAGAAAAAGGATAAGAATGTTGTAAAGCTTTGCAGTGTCGTGATGATAATGTCTGTAATTGGAGTGAGAAGGGGCACTAAGACTCAACAAATATGTTTATAGCAGATAAATGAAGCTATCAATATTTTAAGACATTATTTAATGTTTTTGTCAGGAACTCAGCAGAGCTGAGAAAGAGAAAGCTGAGCCTTTGCCTCCTTAATATTATGGTGTGAGTGAGACTCCAAAACTAGAGAAAATGCCTATTCCCTGTATTTCCTGTGTCCCTGTGGGTCAGTGTAAATGTCAGGCCATCTCAATGATGAGAAGCCCCTGCATTAAGGGGAGAGTGAGTGAGGAGTGTGAGGAGTGGAAAAGTGCTGAGCCCTGAATTTGGGGAGAACTGTCTTCAAGGTTTCCTTTTCCTTTCCCTTTCCCTGGAAGGAGTTCTTTGGTAGGGCATTTCTACCCAAGGTCTCAATCAAAGAGAATTAGAAATGGAAGTTCTGGAATTAGGAATGCAAGGTGTGAAGAGCATGATAGTTCAGGAGGGCTCTGAACTATCAGAGATCAGAACTGTGACTCCTTTGAGAAACTGCCATGCAGTATTGACTGTGCCAGCTCTGGGGTGAGGAAAGCAGGTCTTCCCTGGGAGGCTGCCTAGGAAAGCCTTTGTAATTAATTGCCTATGGTTAGGCCTGAAAGAGCACACATAGGTTTTTACCCAAGGATAGAATGCCTCAGTCTAAAATATAACTGGTGATAAAACTAAAATCAATAAGTTGTCTAGACAGCAAGTGGGAAATTACTAGTCAATCGTGTCCAAAGTTTATTTAAGCAGAAGCCTCGTCTGCTGTGTTCATTGTTGTATTCCTAGACCTAGCACAATGCCTGGCATATAATAGGTACTAGAAATATTGATGAACTAATTTATGAACATTGCTTTTTATTAGACCTTTATAATTATACTTAAAATTTTGGTTAAGTTTGACAAAATAAAACATGCAAGGAATTTGATTTCAATTCCCTTTCTTCTCACTTTCCCACCCCTCCTCCCTCCCTTTATTCTTTCTCCTCTCCTATATTGATCTTCCTTTCATTCATTTATTTATTTATTTTTGATTAGTATTTTCTACACATAATAAAGTGAAATTCTTTTTGGTATGTTTATATGTGTATGTAACATTATATTGTTAAATTCATTCCATATTTCTTCCCCTTTCCCTTCTTTCCAACTCTCACCCTCCCCCTTGCTCTCCTCCTCCTACTCTGTTGATCGACCCTATATCTTTGTGATATGAACAAATATTGTATCTAAAAAATGAACAAAGACATAACAGAAAAATGATAATAAAAGATAAAAGGTGTTTCAAAATTAGTATTAGATAAGATGGATTTCAAGGCCAAAAACATTTTAGAGTCTTAGAAAGTTACTTTATAATTATATTTGGTACAATCCTCAAGAAAGGTTTAATTGTTGTGAGTATATGTGGGTAAAACAGCATCAGAGTTGGTAGGGCAGGACATGATAACAAATACTCCTCAATAAATTTTTATTGAATCAGTATGATATGCTGCAAAATAAGAAAACCATTGTCTTATGAATATTAACTTAGTCCTAAATAAAATATGAACAAAGAGATCAGAAGCTCATTAAAGGAATAATATAACATGACCAAAGGGGATTATGTTTTGGGAATGTGGTAGGTTAAAATTAGGAATTCTATTAATATTATTCAGCATTGTAATAATTGGAAAGAACAAAACTATCAGAAAACATTTGACAGAATTCATTTTCTTTTTCTAAATGTTTTAAATTTCTCCTAATAAAATTAGGGGAAAAAATGAGTACTGCCTCAAGATACATGTCACTTATTGCCTTCTATATGTGTTATTGACCTTGAATACAATGGAGACAGCTGACAATTCCCAAGTTAACTCTTCAAAGAACTCAGTGTAAAGATTATCCTGCTTCATCCATGTACTTGAACTTCTCAGAAGTGAGTTATAATTAGGAAGGTTATGGTTCTGGGCTGATCTCTTTAAATTTATAAAGATGTATATGAAGAGTATTTAATGAGAGTTGGCGAACACTTGACTTGTGCTTCTTTATCTTCTGATATATAAAAAATGAGCAAATTTAGGATCATTCTAATTACTCTTATCTATAATCTTTTGAAATGTTTTGACTGCACACAGCTGCAAAACAATGAAATAATTGTAGATTCTGAAAATGAGCCCATTTTATATATGGTGGTATATTAACAGGGGCTTCCATGTTAGGGATGGACACTGATCAGTGTATCTTTCACATTAGCTAATTAAAAACTATTACTGATAGATAGGTACCTAAAAACTTCTTAGATTCTATGCTAGTGATCATCATTAATTGTAAAATAAAGTTCTCCATGTTTAACTCAGAAAACAAATCAGTGTTATACATGAGACATCACAGAGGAAACAGGTACTTAAGATGAAGTAAATTTTTTTTCCACCTCTGTCTTGGATGTCTCAGGACCTTGTGAGAGGTCACCTAATTTCTCACAGCTTTAGTTTACTACCTTACTTCCTCATAAGATTGCTTTGGGAAGTTAGTTTTACTGGAGTTGATTTGAAAAGTATTATGTTATATAAACGGTTATGATTTTTGATATATTTAGTCAGAATTGGTTAGCATTTTTCATTCTTCCTCATTCTGTGTTTTTCTGATTTTTTTTTTTTTTGTTTGTTTGTTTTTTTGCTAAATGTGCATTCCTTAGGGCATTACACTGGAAGAGTTTGACAAATTATCTTTCAATATGATTTTAATGAGCCCACCATGTCAGCCATTCACAAGGTATGTATAATGCATAGTAGTCTGTATAATTTCTCTGTTCCGGAAGACCGTCAGCTGTATTTCATAGCTTTGAAATTTTTTATAAATAATTTATTTCATCTATTCATATTTATAATTCAGCATTAATCATAAAGTAAATGACTATTACAGTCAGATGATCAAAATGCTTTTATCAACAGTAGATATGCATGACTGCTTTATATCTGCCTAACCTGCAACATTTATTTCTGGCCCATGTTAGTGAGCATTCTGTCACTGTTACCAAAATTTTCCACAAGAACAACATGGAGTAGGAGAAGTTTATTTGGGGCTCATAGTTTCAGAGGTTCAGTTCATGGTTGGCCAACTCATTGCTTTGGGCCTGAGGTAAGGCAGAGCATCATGGCAAAAGAATGTGGCAGCTCAGAACATAGTGGCCAGGAAGCAGAGAAAGGGGAAGAGGCTGCAGGGAAGATGTACCCTTCCAAGACATATAGCCCCAGTGACACACCTCCTCCAGCCACCCCATTTGACACCCAGTTAATCTACTCAAAATAGGTTGTATTGATGAGGTGACAATTCTCATAATAATTTTATCTCTGAATGTCCCTGCACTAATACAGGAACTTTTGGGGGATACCTTATATCCAAACCATAACATGGCCCAAACAATCTTAACTTATTTAAACTATTGAGCATTCAGAATATCTTTCTAATACTGGTTAATGAAAGTGAATTATCATAATATACAGTCAAGTCATAATTACTTAATGTAAAATTCAAAAGCTAGTCTAGCATGCATTTGTGTATTTTATATTTCTTAAAATTGATATCTGCATTTAATATTGTGAATTTTTCACAGCTACATTATAATTTCATTAAGGAATTAAATAATATTTATTTGATTATATGTTTCAAGGAATTATAGTATAAATGAAATATTTTTCCCCCTTTTTTTGCATGCTGGGGATTGAATTCAGGATTTTGCATATGATAGGCAAGTGCTCTACCACCAAGTTACAAGCACAGTCCTCAAATGAAATCTTGACTAATTAATCTTTGCTTAAATATTTTTAATACTAGTAATTTAAGTTATTTTAAATAGTAATAATCACCTAAGTGCATTACATAGAGCATATCATTTAATAAGCTTATGGGATAGGCATTATTGTTACATTTTATAAGTGAGAAACTGAGCTATAGAAAGGTTAAGTCACTTTCCTACAACAACAAAATTAGTGAATATCAGAGTCGGGATTTATTAATCGTTTTATACATTCCTGTTTTAATATGTTTACTTTTTAAGTGGAAGAACATCCAGTAAATATTCGGACTCAAATGAATATTCTTATATTTTAGTAGCTCACTAGGAAACTAATTCCCCAAGGATTTATTGTGTACCTAAATGCCATACATTGTTTTTGATGCTGGAGTTCCTGTCCTTAGGGAGCTTATAGTTTAATGTGAATTACTGGCAAATAATCATCTTATAATGTGATGTAAATCATATACTAAAAAAATATTGGAAGCCCTGAGAGAGTAAGCCTAGAGCATAAAATGGCTCATTGTGTACTAGGTAACATTTTTGTATACTAGACATTATTACAGAGGTGATGTCTGAGCTGTATCTGAAAGACAATGAGGAGTTTACCTGAGAAGGCAGAAGATATTCCATATAAAGGTGGTTCTATGTATATATGAATTAGGTAGGATATACAGAACAGAATGCAGCCCCAGCACAATGAAGCATTCGTGTATTACTGCAGTGGGCCCCCAGTATCTTTCCTGCTACCCCACATACCATGACTGCATTAGCTCAGCTCTGGCTGCTGAGGGCAGCAGTAACTGATTCTGTAGTTATCATTTGGAACACAGAGGAAAGGGACAGAATGTGAAGAAACAAACATTTCTGAGAAATCTGTTCAAATCCACTCTAATCCCTTTGCAAATCTTCAGTCCACTGATGGTTTTAGCCCTCCTCTCAGGAATGAACAAACTAAGTGATGTCAAGTAACTTATCTAATACTAAGAGGCTAATAAGTAGCAAGGTTTTAAACCCTGATCCTCTATTCCTAATTTGCAGGCCCAATCCAAGTCTTCCTTTCTACTTGACCCTTGATCATATTTTGAATTTTATGAAGTGTAATTGCTAGCCCAGATAATGCCTGTTGATATAACCCGTCCTGACCCTAGTTGGTTTAACCATGTTGCAACTCCTGCTTATAGAATAGTTTTCAGCTTAAGTCTGTATTTACATTGGACAAGATTGTCTAGTCATCTTATTATTTAATCTGCTTAAATGATGATTATCACTGTGCCATCAACTCCAAGTTACCACCCTAACCAAACAGCTTATCTGAATTCTTATTGTCTCTTTTGGAACTGAGCAAGATGTCACCAGCAATTGTATATGTGTATTTTTCCTAAACAAAGTGATTTTAAGAGAATAATTGGTTTTATTACTCATTGACTTATTATTATTATTCTTTGCTTTGTGTGAATTACTTTGACATATTGCTTTGTAAAAATAAATTTTAGATTTGTTTATTAGATCTGTAAGGCTTTTTTCTTTTTAATTAAATTAAATGAATAAATGCATTTTGTTTATGATAGCAACAGAAATGATCATTTTTTGTCTGTGAGAGGACCAGCTTTAATTCTCAGTTTTGACCTTTTAGAAGTGATTTGATATATTTATATAAAATTCTTCATAATTTTTTTTTGTTTTCTTTGTTCCTTTAGAATTGGCTTACAGGGTGATATGATTGATCCAAGGACAAATAGCTTCTTATACATTCTAGATATTCTCCCAAGGTAAAAACTTACATTCTTGTCCAAATTTATCTTATACTGAAGACTATGGGTCTAGAAGAATGTGGGTTTCATTTCGTAGAAATTAGTAGTTTATAAATATTCCCTTTAGATACTATGCATACCATTTATTGTCTTATGCCATGACTAATAGAATAACTACAAATGTTTTATGATTTCACACTTGCCACGACAGTGAGTGACAGGGAGTTACAACTTAACTAGCTAATTCTATTGCCTCTGTTCATAATGGTAATGCAAATGATGCTTTTGTTAGTGAATACTGTTGCCCATGGCCTAGAAATTTGTGTTAACCCTAGACATTCTCATGCCATGTGAGTGGCAGTCCTTTGAATTGTATAATGCAAAGGCTTTGCACAAACCCATATTTTGAGATGAGCTTCAGTGGAAATTAACATTTAAAGTGTAAACTTTATCAAGCATGCCATGTTTATGGAGAAAAACAAAAAAAAAAATTGAGTTGTTTCCATCATATACATTTTTATAAAAAGTTCAGAAAATTATTTAACCTTATAGTTCCCACAAATAATGATTTTCTTTACTTTTTAATTCTTAGTAGTTAAATATTTAATATTCCATTTGTTTTCTTTTTTTTAGATTACAAAAATTACCAAAGTATATTCTTTTAGAAAATGTTAAAGGTTTTGAAGTATCTTCTACCAGGTAAAAAATGTATTCGTCTTTTCTACATCTTGGTGTATTTTATAGTAGGAACTATTGTGAAATAAAGAACTCAAAGATAAACACATACAATCTGGCATTTTATATGTACTAAATATTTTATTTATTAGTATTGCTTGTGACTAATAATATAAAAGGTATTACAGAGGATTTTTTAGAAGGCTGTGCTAGAGACTTACAAAGTTTTGTTCTACTGATTGTCCTCCATTTTGATATGTTTGAATTTTTCCAGAATGAGCATTGAATTTCATGGGAATGATTTTTCTCAATATTAGTCATTTATATTGGTGACTGTTGATTTTGAAACAGAAGTGTTTTTTTATCAAGAACTAGTCCTGTTGATGGGCATTTCCTGCTCTACAGTTAGACATTAGAAGAAGCCTTGCATCAGGATTTTGTCAGATGGTAGCCCAGGTGGGCAGAAGTCATCCGTCCGAGTCCTTGATTCACCTGCTGTCCATCATACCAGTGTTCTCATCTGATCTGCTACCAGGAAGATATAGTTTTAGTACCCATGGAAAATCCATCATCAATAGATTAGCAATTCAAACTTTTCATCAATTTAGATACATTATCTGGCATCTTTTACTTATAAGAGAATTATCTGTGTCTTTTTATTAAAATATAAATTTTCAGATACTGGAACTGAAATTAAGATAATTATCTTTCTAAACAGCTTGAGTGCAGTTACAATTTTCACTTACAATGAAGCTTTCTATACACTATTTTATATAAGAACCCCACTTGCAAGAAAAGGGTGAAAATTCTACTCTTTCTTTTCTCTTTTCAGAGACATGTTGATAAAAACAATAGAAAATTGTGGCTTTCAGTACCAAGAATTTCTGTTGTCTCCAACCTCTGTAGGTACAACAATTATAATCCATTATATAAATTATAATTTAAAGGCTTTTTACCCCAATGTAAATTTTATTCAATAAACAGAATAGCTTTATAATATTTTATGCAAATTCTGAAATTATGTCAGACAGGGATCTTACTTTCTAAACACTGTAGTACATACATATAGATATGTATTGGAGCTCAGAAAGAATATGTTTTTATTTTATTTTTCCTGCACTGGGAATTGAACCCAGGACCTTGTACATGCTAGGTAAATGTTCTATCACTGAAGCAATGTATTATTCTTTTGAAAAATAAAGGATAGCACATTTTGGAAATATATAAATGTGGCATTTACAAACTAGGTGTGTTATCTAGATAATGCCTGAAAGTAATCCAAAATAGAAAAGGAAATGAACCATATGATAATTTTCCAATTATACTTTTTATGACATAGCATTCAGTCACAAACATTCATGGTTAAGAAATTAAGGTAACTGGTTGTAAGATAAGCTATTTGTCAAATTTTGATTTTGCAGGTATCACTGTTGTTTGACATTTTTTTTTGTTTTGTTTTTCATAATCTTTTCTGTATTATATAGTTCTTTGTCCAGAAATGAAAAGAAAACCCACTTAAAAAATTAGGTAAACAAGCTGTAGAGATTGGTCATATATTTAATCTCTAAATTTATTTCCTAGTTTTCCCTTTTATCTTCTAAAATAATGAATCTTCCTTTATTAATAAAGTAATAGCCAAGAATAGCTATATTTGATTTTATTTTAAGTGATTACTGAATTAGCAATAATAAGTGTAAAAAATATCTATTTCTTCTTACTTAGAAAGTATAAAATAAAAATTATTCATAGAAATAATGACTTACCAGACTCATTATTTCATTTTAGTAAAGATACAGAATAGCAGTTCAGGTTTAGAAATTACTAGAATTTAACAAGTTTCAAATTTGTTACAAAGAAGTTTTCCAGAAATCAGTAACATAGTTTGCGTTAGCAGAAGCTAGATGTATACCTGTATGAGTTGTTTTACTAGGTGCTAAAGTTAGTACAGATTTCTTTTTGTATAGTAATGAATTGCTCTGCTTTGTTTGCAGCTTGGTATTCCAAATTCAAGGCTAAGGTATTTCCTTATTGCAAAGCTTCAGTCAGAGCCATTACCTTTTCAAGCCCCTGGTCAGGTATTGTTATTATGGTTCATTTGTTATAAATATATCCCAGTCTGCTAACTTATTTTCAAGAACTACTTTGTGTGGATTTATATCTGTCCTATAGAATGTGTATATACGTATAGACCATACCCTATGTCCATCTCCAAGATCTTTGTCCTCTCTGAATGTCAGTTTTATTGGTTTAAACTAAACAAAATCAAAATGAAGCACTCAATTTTCTTTTTTCATTAGGGGGAAAGAAAGTGAAAAGAAAAAAATTACCCTTGGTGTTGTTATTCCCCCATCTCTGCCTACAGTTTTTCTTCTGACCATTGACTATTTGCATTTATCGTTTTCTCTCCCCAAATGAAGATTGGTTACTTTTGATAAAATATAATATACTGTCTTAAAAATTTTTAACACAATGGTTGCATTTTCTTTAAAACTAGTACTATTTCACTTAGTTAATTAAAATAATGTATTAATTAGTACAAGCTAGAATAAAATGCTTAATTGCTGTAGATAGGACTCTAATTATGGGGCCAATTTTATGTACTTTGATTAAAAAATGGGGGTGGATAACAGTTTCAGTGGTTCAATTGGCTCTCTATAACCATCACTATTAAGTATTAAAATGCCAAATCCTACTAATAGGGAATCAGTTTTGTTATTTCTTTTCTTTGAGACATACTACTAATATATTTCCCTTTCTATAGTGGACAGTTCCAAAAACAAAGTGTGAAGTATATTATCAAAGACTTAATCCTTGAAAATGCCTGGAGTGATTTTTCTTTTATAAAATGGGACTTTATACATGGTTATGAGTTTTGAAGAAACAGGTTTTTCTTGTGGGACTCAAGTAGAAATAACCTTTCATGGTGAAAAGCATTTTTTTAATCACTAGTTTTCTTTTAGATTATGATTGTGTTCCAGTTTTTCCTTTTAAATAAAGAATATGGAAAATATATATTTTTTGAAATGTAATGTTGCTTTCTAAACTTTTTCAAATATTATACTGTACCCATATTTAATATGCTTCCTATTACTTTGTTGAATGTTTTGTTAATAAATACAGAAAACAGTAATTCCATGAAATAAATCATCTGTAGCCTGATGACACTATAGCTATATGATTAATAACTTGAAATAACTGGTACAAACACAAGATAGCCACAGTTCCTTTCTAATAACAACACCATAAACATTAAAGAGGTATTTACATAATGTTTACTGAACATTACTAATTTGTCTTTTATTTTTAATAAGTCTTTTGACAGTTTCTATTTTTTTTTTTTTTTACTTAATGCCAGGTACTGATGGAGTTTCCCAAAACTGACTATGAGTATCCACAAAAATGTGTAGTGGATGCAGAAAATAAAATTAAAATAAAGGAAACAGAACCCAATATTTGCTTTGATAGCAGTATGGAATGTTCTGGAAAAGATGCCATTCTTTTTAAGCTTGAAACTGTAGAAGAAATTAAAAGAAAACATCAACAGGACAGTAATCTCTCTGTGCAAATGTTAAAAGATTTTCTTGAAGATGATATTGACACCAATAAGTACATTTTACCACCGAAGTCTTTGCTGCGATATGCTCTTTTATTAGATATTGTTAAGCCCACTTGCAGAAGGTCCACGTGCTTTACCAAAGGGTAAGTTTGAAAGAGACCTTATTCATGTTATATTCAAAATAACCAGGTTTTTATAGCTGTTATTTCCTTTAGTTCTTCTCAAAACAAGGAGAATTTTATAAAATGTTTCTGATAGCATTATTACTTGTATTGTTATTATTTTTGCCCCTAATTGCCTGCTTCATGTTCCAGTAGAACACAAGTGAAAATTCCTTCTGGCAGAACATTATGTACACCACCCACAAAAGTGTTCAGAAGAGACAAAGCCATTTGTTTCATGACCTTCATAGGAGCTTAAATACTCAGGGTGTAAACATGGTTTTTGTAGCTCATCAATTTCCAGTGTTTTAGCACCTTTCTTTCTATGACACGTCAAACTTCTAAGAGTTATGTCCACTCTGTGATCATTGTATAAGAAGAAGTTATATTTTAATCTAAATAAATAAAATTGAGTCAGCTGAAGCACATTCAATTAATTTTTAATTTAAATTTTACTCAGTTTTTTGAGGGAGTAGTATATTTCCATGGTTCAAAATTCGAAAGTCACTAAATTTTTTTGTTTGTTTTTGTTTTTTTGCGGTGCTGGGAATTGAACCCAGGGTCTTTGAGCATGTGACGCAAATGCTCTACCACTGATTCAGAGCCCTGGCTCTCAAGGTACTAAGATTGTTTAAGATTCCCTTCTACTTCTATTTCTTGGCCATTCAGTATCCCTTCTTGCAAGCAAACCAATATATCAATGTACTGTGTAACCTTTCTGAGGTATTATTTGTAAGGATGTGTTTAAGTACATTATTATATGCCTTTTTTTCACTGCCCAGTATAAATTGGATATTATTTCACATCAGTGCATAAAAGTCTTTTTTATTTTCCTGGTATGGGTATATCATTATTTGTTTTACTCATTAGTTACTGACTAACATTTAGGGGGCTTCTTTTGAATGTTTTAAAACATTTTTCATCAATGTTTTTAAACCTAGAAAGAACATTAGGCCTTTTCAGAAATTTTTTGCCAAAGATCCCTACCATTCAGCCTCATTTGACAGGTAATTGTATGATTTGACAATTCAAGCATTTTCTTCTTACCTTCTCACTAGATACGTTGTATAAGACACTGTGCCCCTGGTACAATCCTGGCAAACTTATTCTAACTTTATCATACTCTGCCCTTGTACTTTTAGGGGAAAGGGTTTATTACTTTACAGTACCTTAAAAGACTTCACTCAGCTGTTGTCTATTACCAAGTCCAATAGGTTCTGTTTAGGACTCTCATAAAGTAAGACTTATCAATTCTGTGATAAAAAGCAACCTTGAAATTCTTGAGATGGTATAAAAGAAACTTTAATGTCTTTTTTATTATAGATAATATATGTAAATACAAATTTATATGCACAGTATATGTGAAAAAACAATTTCAAAAAATTATTTTTCCTTTGTGTGATTTTTTTTCAATTTATATATTAAAATTTTCTCTTTGCAAAAAATAATGTTAATATGTTGAACAGCTAGCTTGATAATGGTATTAGAGAAAGAAATAATACAAATACCTTTCATTTCTGAAGAATTTTATACTTTTTATGTTTTTTACTTGATGTTCTAATTCTTTTTATTTTTTGTAATTTTTTTCTTTTTGTTTTAGAGCTTAATGGTTATGGTCTAATTGTTATATGAAAATGATTGTAAAGACATACTGGGTTAAATGAAGGGCAAACCCAGGCTTAGAGGGACTGTATTTATATGGTATTAGAAAGCAGGGCTTGGACATCATGAAAGGATAAATGGTTCAGGCATTTTAAAAAAATGGCCACAATTTATTTTCATGTATTTAACATTTGGTGTAATGTGGCAGGATGCCAGTATTGAATTGTCTTTTAATATAAACTTCATAGTTGCTAGTGGTGAACATTATAGATGCGAGAATTAAAAAATGACAATAATACATAATTTAATGGTGTTTAAGCAACTTAAAAAACTGTTTCATGTTTGGGTTTTGAAAATTTTAAGTAGAATTATCTTGTGATTTTTTACCTAATAATTTTTCAAAGCATATTATATCATCTGTAATGAATGTGATATCATTCCAGATATTTCAGAACCATATAGATTACATCATTCAAGAAATAAGAAATTAAGCATTAACAAGTACATTAGGTACTGCATAATATTCATGTTAATTTTTCAGTTATGGAAGCTACATAGAAGGGACAGGATCTGTGTTACAGACTGCAGAGGATGTGCAGGTACCATGGATGTTTTAAAACTGAATTTTTTTTTTAATTTATTTTTCAGTTTTCGGTGGACACAACATCTTTATTTTATGTGATGCTGAGGATCGAACCCAGCGCCCCCTGCATGCCAGGCAAGCACGCCACCACTTGAGCCACATCCCCAGCCCTAAAACTGAAATATTTTAAAACTTTCAATAATGTTACATCAGCTGGTGGTATAGCTCAGTAGTAGAGTGCTTGCTTAGCATGCACAAGGCCCTGGGTTCAATACCCAGCACTGAAACAAAAATATTATTATTATGCTCATCATTAGTAGTACTTGCTTGTAATCCCAGCTACTTGAGAGGCTGAGGAATGAGAATCTTGATCAAGGCCAGCCTGGGTAATGTTGTCAGACACATTTAAAAAAAAAAAAAATTTACATTTAATACTTAATTTGAGATTGTCAAAACAATTTTACATGTTCAATTGGGAATGAATACTTTACATGTTCAGCCAGGAATAAATATGTTATTCATTTATGTACATATATATTCATATAATTTCTTTGGTATAAGATAAGTCTTATTGCTGTGTATGTGCTTATGCATAAGGAAGGTTTTGTTTTTATTCTTACTTTTGTTTTTCTTATATTCTGCATTTCTTTTTTTGCCATAAATAGTAAGTCGAAATTTAGCCTACACTAGTGAATGCTCTAAAATTTCCATAGGCATGTTAATATTGGAGTCCTCTTTTGTAGCACATACTATAAAACTTCCTTTTAAGGAAAACAAAATCTGTTTTAGCAATATACTTTTTAAATTCTTTAGTTGTAAACTCTTCATGGTGTTCTGGTTGAATATATGCCTAGTAGTAAGTTTTATATTTTTAAAATAATTTTAAGTCCATATTATCTTCTTTTATGCTGATTCAAACTCTTAACTATTAATAAAATTTACTCAGGATAAAAGTACTGTCATATGCAAATGAAAGTCTGGATTTGAGAAATCATTTAATATATTTTGCCATTTTAATAAAGTTTCTTAATTGGATCAAATTGATGGTCAACAACAAATATTTTCAATGATCTTGTTAACATTGTAAAATTGGCTTTGTTGGTTGACCTAGTTTCCTTTATATCTTTTAGTATATTTCTGTTTTGTAATATTGTCAATGATTATTTATATTATGATTAATTTTAAGATACCAAAAATTACAGATATACTGGAAAGTATTCTGATCAATGTTAGCCTTTTCTTCTTTTTCACAGTTTAGATTGCCATTGTTGAGACAATTATCTACTTTATTACACAGACACTTTTTGCCCATGCATTTTGCTACCATGTATTAGTTCAGACTATATGTCCACCTTCTTTTTTTCTTTTTTAAAATTTGTTCTTTTTAGTTATACATGACAGTAGAATTTATTTTGACATATCACATATATATGGAGTTTAACTTCCCATTCTTGTGATTATACATGATGTGTAGTTACACTGGTTATATATTTATGTATGAACAAAGGAAAGTTATGTCTGATTCATTCTACTTTCTTTCCCATTTATGTCCATCTTCTTAAAGCTGTCTCACTATTGGAAATCTTAACAAATATGGTTCCACACTACTTTTTCAGTTATCTTGGATGTTTTCTTACAGATTGAGAGTATCTACAGATCCCTTAGCAATTTGCCACAAGAAGAAAAGATAACAAAGTTGTCAATGCTTAAGCTGCGATATTTTACTCCTAAAGAAATAGCAAATCTCCTTGGATTTCCTCCAGAGTTTGGTATGTGGGATCATCTTTCATTTATTGAAATTCTCAAAATTCATTAGAGAATTTTTATTTATATATATAAAAATAATGAGTAAGCCCTTGCCCACACAGGTAGTTTCAAGAAACTTCCTTTCCTGATTGTGCCTTTGGGGGCATTTTCCTGTCCTCTTTACCCTTTCTCTAATAATCTGCCTCTCAGTCTATTCTCTTCCTACTCAGTTTGCTCTCTCCTTTAATTTTAGTAATGGGTCAGAGTTCATTGGCAAAAATGGGCAAATCAACAATTTTTTATTCTCCCACTGATGATTGTTAAAGCATCTTCTTTTCAGCTTATCTTCTTGCTTCCGGATGTCTGTTTTTTCTTAACTTTCATATTTTTTAATTGTTTTTTTTTTTAAATATACATGACAGTAGAGTTTATTTTGACATATTATATATACAAAGACTATAACTTATTCTAATTAGAATCCCATTCTTGTGGTTGTACATTATATGGAGTTTCACTGCAGAGGTTTAATTTTAGTAAACCGTACACTAGGTCTTATGAAAGAATGCCTATGATTAGCTTTTTGAATGAAGAAATTAACAGGCAGTTTAGTTGAGGATTTGGGGGAATTTATTTGTATTTATTCTCCTCCACAATACATTTTCATCTGTTGTGTGTCTTTGTCCTTCCCTACAAGGGTTAATTAATGGAGAACAGGGAAGATGGAGAGGTAGTCTAGGAAAGAACTTTCCAAAGGAAAGAAAGGAACACAGATGCCAGACTTTACAAAGATTAGGAGATCTGTACCAGGGCATCTCAAGGACAAAAGTGAAGATGGGGGTATAGAGTGAGAAACCCAGATTTCTAACTCCATTGGCAGTCCAGGATCTCTGGGAATTGTTGCTGTAAAGAGATCGGATACTCTTGCTTGCTGAAAGCAGTGGTAACCCCTTTCTGATCTCATTGTGGGCCAGTGCTCTCAGATGGCTTTTTTAGGCCTGGCAGTGGGTGTGCTCCAGTACCTGGCTAATGGGCAGAGAGAAACATAGACCTCCCTAACCAACTTCCAAGGTCTACAGAAGGAGGAAATGTGCGTTTGACAACTCTGAGTAGAAATTTGAATGTAGAAAAGTGAAACTGTTAAATCTAATATTATTGTAATATTAATAACACTACTATTATTGAAATAAATAATGGGTAAAATAAATCATGTTTCAGATTCTAAATAATGAATTTGCAGATGATGTTTTAAACATAGACTTCTTTGTACATTGGGAACAAACCAGCAATGTAGTGAGTTGTCTGAGCACAGCAACCAAGTTTATTTTCTACTACCTGCATTTATTTATTTATTCATTCATTCATTCAGTCATTCATTCATTCAGTCAGTCAGTCAGTCATTTTTGCTGATACATTCAGTTCCAAATATCCTGGGGAGTGTTATTAAGAAAAACATACTTTCCTTGTCTTAGTTTATGTCACAAGGTGAGTGAAACAATATCACAGAACAAATGAAGACCTGAGAATTGGACTGAAGAATTCCAATTTTGAATTTGCTTTTCTAGTTACTATTTTTTTATTTTTTTGAACAATCAGATATATTTTACAGACCACTAAAGAGAGACAAGCAATTGACTATCAAATAAAAATGAATACCTACATTTTATTACAGTATTTTTTTTATTCTAGAAGTGTAGTAGTCACTCTGATAAAATTCAGACTTGGTGAGGGATACAGACAGAGCCCAGAGTCAGACTGAGTTTGAATACTAGCCTCATTTTAACCCCTCTCTTAGATTACAGTTTCCTTGTTTGTAAAACGAGGGTAATTATAGCACCTATTTCGTAGGGTTCCTGGGACAGTTAAGTGAGTTAGTGTGTTTAAAATGCCTACATAATATCTGGGACAATATAAAATTTGTTTGCTTTTATTTTAAAATGGCAGTCATTTATTTACTTTTGTAGCCTTATTTCATATTTTTTCTATTTAAAAATTTTAGGTATATAAATAGATTTTTTTCAAAGTTCTTTAAAAATATATATATATATAAATAAAATATTCATGCAAAAAGTGTCTTTTAAATTGCCGAATCTTCTTTTATGTGGTATATTTGTATAGAGAAGCTTGCCCTTATGTTACCACTGAGCAGCACCATGACACACTGTCCTTCACATGTGTTTCCAACTTTATTGACTCTGAGTCCAAAAATGGTGACTGTTTGAGCTTTTTGTCCACTGGCAGTGATAGATTTGCATTGATCCTTCTGTACATTTTGTTCTGGTTCTTTGTGATTGGCAGCACACATTCCTGAGGTAGCAGACTTTGGAAGAGAGGGACTCTAACTAGATGAAAGCTACTATTTGACCTTGTTAATTTCCATTTCTTCTAAGGATTATTATTACTTTAATGTTTCTAAGTTTTTAAAAGGTCACCTTTTAATCAATTATGTAGCTTTTCCTGTAAGTTTAGACTTAACATCTGTACATAAAATACACATGGAGACACAGACACATACCCATACATACACACATACACACACAATTTTTAGGAATTTGACTTTTTTCCAGACCTTTTCCCCTCTTTGTTGTAATCTTAATATGGCAAAAGATATTCTAAAGGCTTGGGATATTCTAAAGGCTTATTTGTAGATAACACTTGTACCTCTGGCTACTTTGATCTAGTTTTTGAGATGAGTAAAAATTTGCACCCAAAACGTATGGTATGCTCTCTATTCACCTCATTTATTGTTTCTTTTGTTAAGAAGAAGCTTTTTAGTTTGAATCTATCCCATTTGTTGATTCTTGATTTTAATTCTTGCATTATAGGAGTCTTATTAAAAGGAAGTCAGGGCCTAATCCAACATGATGGCGATTTTTTTCTATTAGGCGCAGTGTGTCTGGTTTAATTCCTAGGTCCTTGATCCACTTTGAGTTGACTTTTGTGCATGGTGAGAGATAGGGGTTTAATTTCATTTTGTTGCATATAGATTTCCAGTTTTCCCAGCACCATTTTTTGAAGAGGCTATCTTTTCTCCAATGTATGTTTTTGGTGCCTTTGTCTAATATAATTATGTGGGATTGTCTCTGTGTCCTCTATTCTGTGCCATTGGTCTACCAGTCTATTTTGGTGCCCATACCATGCTGTTTTTGTTACTATAGCTTTGTAGTATAGTTTAAGGTCTGGTATAGTGATGACACCTGCTTCTCTCTTCTTGCTAGGGGTTGCTTTAGCTATCCTGGGTCTCTTATTTTTCCAGATGAATTTCATGACTGGTTTTTCTACTTCTTTCTTTCTTTTTTTTTGGAAATTTTGGGATGTTTTTTCTATTTCTATGAGGAATGTGATTGGGGTTTTGATTGGAATTGCATTAAATCTGTATAGTGCTTTTGGTAGTATGGTCATTTTGACAATATTAATTCTGCCTATCCAAAAGGCAGATTTTTCTATGTTCTAAGGTTTTCTTTAATTTCTTTCTTTAGCATTCTTTGCCTGTGATATATTATCTTTAGGATATGAAATTTATAATCATGATCAATTGCAAATAATGGTTTTTTAATAGTAATTACTGTTTATTTTATTGCTATTAATATGTCAAGAATTAATGAAGCATCTTTAGAATAACTAACTCTACCCCTGATTCTTACAAATATAATGAAATTTTACTATTTTTAATACTTTTTAATTATGTCCTTCATTTTATTATCTAATTTAAATTTCCTTTAATTTATTGTTATGCCAAGAATCCTGAGTGTGAATAGAAGTCCATCATGAGAAAAATCAGTATGTGTTAACAATGTATGAAAAAACAACTGATGAATTTGTAGCTAGAATATGTAAAGAAACTTACAAGTTAACAATAAAAAGAAAAGATAGTCCAGCTCAAAAATGTGCAAAGCATTTCTTTAAACAAGATAGACAAGTGGCTAATAAGCACATGAAAAAGGTGTTTAATATGTTTAATTATTAGGGAATTGTAAATCAAACCAGATCATACTCATTAGGATGGCTAAAATAAAAGATGGTACTAGTATTGGCAAAGATGTGAAGAAATTGGAACTCTCATTGGCTGCTGGTGGAAATGTAATGGTGTCTCCTGCTTCAGAAAGCACGGTACTGCAGACATTAAACATAGCATTTTTGTATGACTCAAGAGCTTCACCACTAGTTATATGTACAAGAGAACTGAAAACATTTTCACACAAAAATTTATACATGAATGTTCATAATAACATTATTCACAGTAGCCCAAATGTCTTGCCAATGAATGAATGGATAAATAAAATGTGGTATATTCAGGCAATAAAATTTTCCTCATCCATAAAAAGGAGTAAGTATTGAAACACACAACGGTGTGAATGAACCTGGAAAACATTATGCCAAGCAAGAGAATGTTTTAACACAAAAGAACATATTTTATGGTTCCATTTATGTGAAGTGTTCAGAATAGAAAAATCTATAGATAGAGAAATTAAATTAGTGGTTGGGGGACATGAAGGGGAAGTAGCAAAAGACCATTAATAGGTATGAGTTTTCTTTTTTGAAGTAATGAAAATGTTCTAGAATTAGTAGAGATGTTTAAAAAATAAACTATTCTAAAACCACTGAAATTTTACAGGTGAATTCTAAAATTCATCAGTAAAAGGGTGAATTTTATCTCTATAAAAATGTTACAAGATAAAAGAAACAACTTAGAAAAAAATGATAGCCAGTACTTTATCTAAAGTTCATTAATACATGAATTTTTATGAATTCAATTTCTGTGAACAGCTATGTGTACATATGTGCATGTATGCATCACCCATAACTTGATGCTTTATAATATACTGGGATATGATAATATCTCATCATGTGGACAGTATAATAAAATGCTACATAATATTTTTGGATCCAGACTCTTCATTTATCAGTAAAACTTAACAGAGACTTTAGTGATTTACAGTTATATGTTGTTGAACAATGAGGATGCATTCTGAGAAATGTATCCTCAGGCAACTTCATAATTGTGTAAACATAATAGTGTACTTACACAAAGTAAGACAATTATAGTGTCACTAGATGATATCAATTTATGAGACTACCATCATATGTGCTTGTTGACTGAAATGGTGTTATGAAATTATCCCTGTATCTTTGTTAAAGGATGCATCCTTTTAGCTATAGAAATTACTATTACAAATGATCAATTTTTATCTCTCTTTTTTAGGATTTCCTGAGAAGATAACAGTGAAACAGTGTTACCGTCTACTTGGAAATAGTCTCAATGTGCATGTAGTAGCTAAGCTGATCAAAATCCTTTGTAAATAACTTTGAAATAACTCTGGAAAAGGAACATGATATTCTTTCATGCCCAGATTGTAATTCTTAAATTCTATTTTGAAGTAATGTTGATTAAATTTAACTAAGTTATTTTAATCTTTCTTTAAAAATTTTAGAATTCATCTCAAAATTTAGAATTTCTCACAAAAATAAATTTGTTTTCTTAAATTTATATTACTGTATTTTATAAGTTTTGCTTTATAGAGAATATATTTTCATTTGAAAGTAATATATATCTTTATAATATGTATATTATATGTTATATATAATATGTTATTATTATCTTTACAATATTATTACTCCTAAACTTAGAATGGTGATTCTAATGCTAGCATGTTTGAAATATTGGATGTTTTACTTAATTCCCATCTTTTGGATATTTTACTTAAATCCCATCCTTTAAATGTTTCTTAATTTATTGTAAACAGATACTTATGATATTTGAAACCAAATTGTCATTAATCAACTTATACAGCAGTCTGAAGAATATAATAGAAAAATTAAATTCATGATTACTTCTTCATCAGGAGGCCTTAGCAAACTTAGGTGTTTATTATCTAATTATCTTTATCTTTCATGTCTCTCCGAAGGGCCAAACTCAGTATGGACTTCGCTTTAGTTTGCTATTATTAGAGTTTGTTTTTGCCTCCCTTCTCAGCTTGTGAGTTAAATTTGCCTGCAGTCTAAGGAATGTAATGTAGCATTAGGAATTTAGGGAGGAAATTCTACTCTGATCCCATTATATATGGTGCTAGTTCCCCCCACCTCATTTTTTTTTTAATTGTTGTGACATGCCTCTGATTTAACTTTCATAACTTTAACTTTGTTGTTTCTCCTTGCCAGAGACTTTTTGGAATTCAGGTTTCTCATCAGCCTGAATCTTGCATCATATATCTTGCAGTTTTGATTTTAGTAATAAAAGCAAGTGATACAGAGAAATGAAAAGAAACAAGACCAGAAATTATATCACAAAATATTAATTCATATTTTTTATTTTTTAAGCATAATCTAAGCCAGGTGTGGTGACACACACCTGTGCTACTTGGAAGGCTGACGCAGGAGGATTGCAAGTTTGAGGCCAGCCTCCACAACTGAGGAAGAACTTTTCTCAGATAAAAAGGCGGGGGGTAATGGGGGTTGAGGTGGGGATATAGCTCAGTTGTAGAGTGCCTCTGGGTCAATCCTCAGTACAAAAACAAAAACAAAAAAATCATTCCTATATAGAGAAATTTGAACCCTTGTTCATTGCGGGTGAAAGCATAAAATAGTAGAGCTGCTGTGGAAAACCGTGTGGAGGTTCCTCAAAAAGTTAAAGATAGAATTACCATATGATCTACAAATTCCATTTCTGGGTATATACCCAGAAGAAGTGAAAGCAAGAACTTGAACAAATGCTGTGATTATAATAGCATCCAAAAGGTGGAAGCCGCCCAGGTGTCCATCCATCAATAGATAGATGGATAAATAAAATGTATATGTATATAAATACATACAATGGACTAGTATTCATCCTTAAAAAAGAATGAGATTATGATACATGCTGTGAACAGAATGAGCCTTAAGACATTCTAGTAAGTGAAACAAACCAGTCACAAAAGGACAAATATTATAATTCCACTTATATGAGGTACCTAAAACAGTCAGATTCCCAGAGACTATAAGTAGAATGGTGGTTGTCAGGGATAGTGGGAGGGAGAATGAGGGGTTAGTGTTTAATAGATACAGTTTCGGCATGAGGGCTAATGAAGTTCTAGGAAATGGTTGGTGGTGATCGTTTCATAATAGTGCAAAGGTACTCAATGCCACTGAACTGTACACTTAAAAATAGTTGCAATGGTGAAATTTTAAATTATATGTATTTTGCTGCAATTTAAGAAAATTATATTTTATTACCATATTTTCAGAACACATAAATAGATATATTTAGGGAGGTTGTAAGCCAACACATGTATCAACAATCACTATCGACTTTTTATATTTGTGTTTAAAGATAAACTTTATTGCAAGTCTCATAAATTTTATTATACAATCTAAAATCATTTTGGCACACTTTTGTGTAGTTTTCTTCGATGAAAAATTCTTTATCAATAAAATGGTTTATAGTTTAACTATAGTTATACAGTGATTATAATTATGTAATTATAGTATCTGACATCCCATTGAGCAATATTATTTAAAATACATATTAAGTTACAGTGTGCCAACTATAAACACATGAAAGGTCTGTGGAGACATTTGCTTGTGAACTAGAAGACAGAATAAGCTTTATGAAATTTTTAAGTATGTATTGAAGTATGTATTCAAAGGCAGATGATAATTTTGCCCTTAACTCATAATTGAAAATATACACTAGCAAGCATAAATTTTACACCTTAATGAAGATATATTTACCAGTGTCATTTAATCATACACACACACACACACACACACACACACACATATACACAAAAGTGTATGTGTGTGTGTATATATATATATATATATATATATATATACATACACAACTAATTTGGAAAAGTCATTTCATTGAATGCTACATATTGGTAATAAATATGCATAAAATTTGCACCGGAAATTCTGTTTCCTGATATTTCTTATAATTTGTTTGGTATAATAGCTTCTATTTTTCAAGAGAACTATATGTAATTAAACCGTTGCTGTTCTTCACAATGAACTGTTTCTTCATTCTCCTTTTTGCATCACTCTGGTCTTTATAAAAGCTTGTTAGGTAATTCTAAGGTATTTATTATCTTGGCTCATAATTTTAGTATTTTTTAAGGACCTAAAACCAGTGACAGAACATGGTTAAATGAATCAATACAAAAATGATTTATAGATGGTTACACAAATTAATACAAGCAAAATTATTTATATTGGAAATTGATTGTGAGGAGGAGATGGGTAATCATCTCAGAAGTCCGAGCCTGACCATCCTTAGTGTAGGCTGTAAAGTTGAATGACGGAGGATGTAGGTCACCTTTCACTGGGGTGGGCTGTGCATTGAAAGGTAAGAAAATACCTACCACCATCAGCCACTTGCTCTGGAGTCTTTTAAAGCGGCAAAACTAGGAGTTCACATTATAAACAATGACAAGCTACCCAGTACCTTTTTTAAAAGTATGAGACTAATATATTCCTTGAAATGATCTTTTAGAGGTAAACTTATTTGGTAGAGAAGCTCTTCAGTTTCCTTTCGAGCTGCATCACTGCATGTTGAATGTAAAGGTGGATGGTGTTAGAGGCAGGGCAGCCACTTCAGTGCCTAGGTAGGGAGTAGGATTCTTTAAAAAAAAAAAAAAGTCTTCTGACTTTGGTTTAAATTTCAACCTACTTAATCCAAAATGATTAAATCAGACTTCTGAGGAGAGACAAATAAAGCTAAGGACAAATTAAACTGGTTTAATCCTAGCCATAAGAGTACAGAATAAGGTGCAACTACATTCATACAACATTAAGCATGCACTAAAGGATGCATTCTGTGGGCTGGTTACTGTATCTCGAACTAAACACAGTGACTAAAGTCACTCTGGTTACCCTTGTTTTGATAACTTTATAATTTAGAGTCAAGAGAAGTTCTTAAATAAGTCCAGGTCAACAATGAGGAACTTATTTTAAGCCCATATATACAAAGTGGTTGAAGTTTGCTTTTCTGAGTTGGTTATGGTATTTAAGAGAAGTATAACTTGGGCTGGGCATAGAGCTCAGTTATGGAGCACATGTTCAGCATGCTCAGGACCCTGGGTTCCATCCCCAGCAGCAACAACAACTAAGAATTTAACTTCTAATTTGGTCTTATTATTTTACTGATAATTTGAAAGCCACCAGTTAATCTCCTGACTGACTACTAGCTTTGGACTTTGAAACTGAGTGAGGGTCATATGGACTCAGCAGTTTTCTCAAAGCCTGTGGTTGAACTCAAGATTATATAATTTTTTAGATACAGCCTTTGGACCTCTCTGCTGGTTAATTTTTTTCCTCTCAATGTTTCCTGTCCAAGTGTAGCGCATACAGCTATCATGTCAACTTTTGGCACGTGTCTTTTCTGGTTCTCTTTCCTCATTTGTCACACCCAAGATGTCTACTCACACCGATATTATATTTGGGAGTATCCTTCTGCATGTTGTATGAAACAGCAGTTAAGAATCTCGCATATGTTCTCCAGTTCAGACTACACCATTCAGCCTGTCTGCACATTTTCCCTCTTGTCATTCCGTTTCTTTGCTACTGAAATTTTTAAAAGTTTACATTAAAAATTTTTTCCCCTGTTTCTTTTTTTTTGAGATCTCTGGGAACATTTTATTCTTATGGTCTTCAAAATCTTACACAACCATGATTTAAACTACATCACCATTATTTGTCTTCATTTGTGAGTTTATTTTTAAATGTATTTGCTCAAAAAAAAATATAAACATATAAAAGACTCTTTCGACTTCTTGATTCCCAGGTTCTAAAATAAATTCATTTTATATTTACCATAGGTTCTGAGTCTTTTTTCAATGATGTTTAACACTTCAAGGACTCTCATGTACAACATGGTTGATTCCTAAAGCTTCCAAAAATCTATCTCCTTTTTCCTATAAATAAGACACAATATTTTCACAAATACTAAAAATTGGAAGTTAATTTTCCCATATAAATCTGTTCCTTATAGCTTTATGTTGTTTTTATTTCTCTGCTTGTACATAGGATGCTTTCATTGTTTCCTTAAGTATTTGCGTTTTGTTTGCATTTCTATGTCTATTCATAACAAGGAAGATTGAAATTATGAGTGTACGTGGTTGTTTAGCCAAGTTGGCTCTATAATCAGATGAGATCACCTAGAAAGGGGAAAGAGAAAGGTGGAGGGAGGCTGGAGCTGAACTCTTAATGTTCCTGAAGATTCCGTTTTTGGATCTCTCTACCCTTCACTGTCTGAACCAGTTTCTCAGATATTTTTCCCTCTTCTTATAACTTCTACCCTTTTCCTGCTGATACTCAGATGACCTAGATCTGATAATTTTCTCAAAGTCCTATTGTAGAATCTTCATGCTGGATCATTTTCAACTGGGATAGCTTGCAGTCACATCAAATTAAGCATGTTGAAAAATTAAACATCCTATATTCTAAAATCACTTTTCCACTCATGACTTACTAATTCTCTTTATGGTAACTCCTACTCTCCCAGTCTCCCAATTCAAACCCTGTAACCCAAGATCATCTTCGCCTGGTCTTTCCCACTCTGCATTCTGTTTATCAACAAAAGTAGGTTTCCCAAGGAAAACTTTCTCTGATAGATGGTGACTTATTTTTGGAAAAACTGATGTCACCTTTAAATCTGAAAACATACATATTTGCTGCCAAATTTGTGTGCTTAGCTAAATGTATAGACATTTACTAGATTTTAGCCTTCTGAATTTAATCTAGATGGATGTCATTTTTACTAAAATAGTGTTACTTTGCTCACTTAGCTAGTTTACTTACACAAATACAGTTAAATTGCACATATAAAAAATGACCAAAAACATACTGAAATATGATACTCCTTGTGTAGGAGATACAAGTTGAATTTGATACTTGGGAGCTGATTCTATGAATGAATGAACAATAAGCTGAGGAGTTGCTATGATCTCAGTTGGTTTTAGTGAAAAATGTTTTGTTCTAGAGCATGTAAACTTCCAAAGATTTTTAACATTTTTTTTCACTGCTGTGTTCCTAGCCATATTAGTTCTTGGCACATAGTAAGCACTCAGTTTAAATACTTGTTGAATGAATGAATATAGTAACCATACTGGAATTGGTATCAAAATTTTAATGAGGGTATCACAATGTGGAATTTAAATGGCGACTAGAAGTCACTCTCCTGAAAACTACTGAATTTGTTTACTACTACCATTTCTTCCATACTCAGAGAAATAGTCAAATTTACTCAAATCTGGGACACATTTTAAAAATAATTCTAGGGTAGACTTTTGGCTTTTAGGGAAGTGATGCAGACACATTTTTTTTTTAAATACTGTATTCTAATTTCTAGTCTTGACAAGAGATCATGGACTTATCTCTAAAGTAAAATTGCAAGCTCTGGGTAAGCATAATTATGCAATAGCACTTCAGAAAAACTCTGCAAGATGGGAAGAGAAACAAATTGGCTAGGGACCATGAGATTGAGGGACCAGCATAGTTTCAAGACATTTTCCTGCTGTTCCACCCAACAAAGGAAGGTAACCACAGGCTTAGTGTTTACCAACCCATACCCTAGCCAAAAAAGGCAGACCATGGAGGCCCATTCTTAACCTAAATAGAACTGAATCTTGAAGGTAACACCAAGAGAGTCTGGCTCCATCAACCAGGACAATGTATCAGAGGAACCCCTGGCAAACACCCAGGTGCAGCACTCCACTTTCCTGCCAGACCTGAGACTTCTCTCACCTGCTAAGGAGTGAGCATCCAGAGGATGCTGGCAAGGGGTATCCCACCACAAAAACACCTCACCCAGAAAGTCTTTTCACTGTAAGCCATAGACTTCCTTCTCCCAGAAGCACCTGGTACCTGACTTGGCCTGGGAAATAGCTTCTTTTCTCTTAATGTAGCATTATCGAGGACCACGGAGAGCCTCCATAGCACCAGATAAACCAAGCAAACCAAAATAATAGGGCAAAGCCTCTAAAAACTAAACTGCCATTGGAATCACAGTCCACAAATGTAAGCCAGAACCCGCATGCTAAACAGTGACTGTCCACTAAAATAGAAGATTAAAATAGCACTTAATGAGTGTCCCTGCTAGGACAAGATATCCAGGAAACAATCACCTGTCATACCAAGAACTTGGAAAATCACAACTTGAATAAGAAAGAACAGTTAACTAATGACAATACCAAAGTGAATCAGATGTCAAAATCCTCTAACAAGGATTTTAAAGCAACCATCTTAAAAATGCTTCAACAAGCAATTACAAGTTCTTTTGGCACAGAAATAGAAAAGCAGCCTAACATAGAAATTAATGAAAATCCAATAAAATGTTGATCAATTATATTTAACAATTAACAGACGTTGTTAAGTAAATATTAATAAATATCCAACTTTTAAAAAATAATTAAATGCAATTACATACCTGAAGAATAAAATAACAACAAAACC